TCGTCGTGTAAAGGGATGGTGGGGGGGGGGGGGGGGTGGGGGGGGGGGTGGGGGGGGGGGGGGCTCGAGTTTAAAAGATCAGATTATAAATTACACGCGCGTACCTTTGAACTCGCTGCTACAAGGGAGGGAAATTTACAGTTGCCGACGCTCGACGTCCGCGGAAACAAAGTGGGCTAGTCGAGAGCGCGCGAGATAAAGACAGAGGAATATGGATAATTACCGGAACGTGCACAGCGCTATCCTCTTGCTCATATGCCCCAGGTAAAACTGGAGCTCGCGCTGAAATAAACTTTTCCTTGTTAATTAAATGCTGTGTGGCCGCTAATCGGGACAAAGGGACATGCAGCAGGCAACCTGAGAAACCCAAACAATTCTCTCTGCCTAGTCCCCGGGGACATCGAGTGAAAAGTATTCTGGAAAACCCGCACACACCCCCTCGATAAAACTGTACTATTTTATTCGCTCGCTCCCCTCCTCCTTCGCCATCACGCAAGCCCATTCTCTCATCCATCACAAGCTCAATACTACTTTCATTTCCTTATTATATACTTTTTTATTCTATTTTTTTTTTCTTTTTTCTTTTTCTTTTCGAGTATCTTTAGTGCCAGACAGCTTAGTCCAATGCTCCCTACTTTTCGTTTTAAATTTGCGGATAATTGTCATTATTTCATTGAAGAGGAACTATGCTCTCGAGGGACACTTAATCGTTACTTAAATGAAATCTTTATTATGTACGAGTGAAAAAGTAACAAAAAAAAGAGAAAGAAAAGAAAAAAAAGAGAGGAAAGAAACTTTTTTTTTATCATACGAGCATTCGAGAAAATTGAATTTTCAACTATTTCTTATACGCCAACTCTTATAAACTTTACTCCCTTCTTTTTGCTACAAAAGACTTGCATAGATTTAAGTATTTGCATGTATTTGAGAAAATGTTTTAAAAGTTTCGCACCTTTAATCGCTTTATTTTTGTACAATAAATAAGAACTTAAGCAAAACGTAAAGTACATAAATGCCGAGATAAGTTGAAGGAGCCAAAACTGTTATGCATGAAGAATTTAGTTTCATAGGTTTTTTCGATAAGACATAACAATATTTCAGTTGGACGTTTACTGCCTTTACAAAATTAAATTCAATTCTCTGAGAATTTATTACAGCGGTATTAATATAATGAAAAATACTATAATAATTTAATTATTCACTACAATGCTCCGGTAGAATTCCATAATCCACTACAATAACATGAGATATATATCTACTTCAAGCATGATTTATTATAATGCAAAAATTCTAATGATAAATAAATCTCGAATAAATACTTATTTATTGTAAAAGTAAAAGTATATTTTTTTTTCATATAAATATCATTCGAATGTAAGCGGAATATTTAATTCTTAGTTTATGCAAAGGGAAAATATATTTCCATCATCGGTGATTTACAACAGTTGCAATGATTTTATATATGACAAAAGAAATACGAAAAAATAAATAAATAAGTAAATTCATCCAAATTAAGATACGAGAAAAGTCGAGAGAACAATACGGCACGTAGAAAGTGGTGAATGCAAAAAATTTCAAAAACTAAGAAATCGAGTAACTTAATACTCTACCCAACGTTTCAACGGTAATTAAAGTACACAAATTAAGCAAAGTATGCCGTATGGCTAGAATGAGAAATCAAAGAGTCGAGTATACAATTTCACCAGAAAAAGTAGAAAGCAAGAGGTATATTCAATAGAGCTAAACAAATATAGGATAAATAATATTAAATCCAATTGAAGAGAAGTAGGGTATGATTTAGTATTGCAAATGGATTTGCATCGACATACAGAAATTTTCTTTTGCTTATAGATGGATGACCTTTTAAGCTGCTAAGATTACATCATTAGTTTAATTAATGACTTCAATAATAATTCGAATAACACAATAAATCCGTTTGAAAATAAGCAATTAACCATAGAATAAATCATTAAAATTTTAATTTATTTTCATCAAAAACAATTATAGATTTTCAACAAACAAACAAAAAAAATAAATAAATAAATAAATAAAAAGAACAAAAAATAACGTTTTAATATATTATTTAATAATTATTGTTAGCGAAGGATTAGTGAAATTTCAATGCTTCATTTCAAGCATTATTATTAAATATATCTATGGTGTAAAATATTGTAAA